AGAACAGTTGCGGTCGATGCGGATTGCAGTGACCACTGTGGCAATGCCACCGCTGGATACACCACGTGACACGCTTGCAACAACAAGAGAACAGCCGCCTCAGGCCCAGCCATCCTCCTCATCACACAGCAACAACAGCAGCAGCAACAGAAACAACAACGACGACGATGCGGCTGTGCTCAAGTACGCGTGGCCCGCATGCGTGCTGTTCCAAAGCTTCCACCGCAACACCAACTTCCACAACGTCGATTATCTTCTCATCACCCGCAACCCTGGCCCGCAGACGCTCGCCCTTGCGGCTGCATGCAACATCACCATCCGCCACCGCCGCCCAGCCATTCCGCTCGAGGCCGTCCAGGACCCAGAGTACAAGCGCCTCGTCCAGCCTGGTGGCCAATATGCCGGCATCGGCCTGATGGACTTTGACTTTCTGTGGCCCTGGTCATTTGAGGAATACGATCGCGTGCTCATCTTGGACGTGGACATGCTCGTCATGAACAACATCGACCACCTGTTCGTGTTGCCGTCCCACCTCCTCTTCACCAACGGCATGTTCAGCAGCGTCAACGGCGGCTTCCAGCTCATCCAGCCCAGCATGAGCATCTTCAAGCAGATGCAGGCGCTCATCACCGCGCCCCGCGCTTTCCGCCCCGAAACAGGCTGGTACCGTACGGGGCTCCAGCATGGTCGCACCCACGGCGCTGCCACGCTCCAGGGCTTTCTCACCTACTTCGTCCGTCACGTGTTCCGCGACAAGGCACAAGAGCTTCCTCGCGCCCTCTACAACTGCCAGTTTGATGCTGAGATTGAGGCGCTGGCGTTGCTGTGCGACCACATCTACCTTGCCCACTTCACAGCCTGCCCAAAGCCAATGCAGGTCTCAGCAAGCACCTTCATCCAACAAGCCACGGCGCACACGCACCACCTCTGCGCATGTGCGTTTTTCTACTACAAGACGTTCCAGATTCACCTCATCCGCACGCTTCTACCGGACGATCTTGCTGCTCTCTTACGAAACACCATCCCAAGATAACGTTGGGAGGTTGGGAGTGTTGTATACGTGTTATTTGTGAGCGCACGTGTGTGTGCATGTGTGCGTCCGTCCGCGGTTCTGTATCCGCGTCCCTGTGCTTCCGTGTGCCGATGTCTGCGACTACTTCCTCGCATCTTGGTGTCTCCATGCACACGTCCCTTTGTACCCATGCCTGCTGGGATCTATGATGCGCCAAATTCTTGAATTGCTTCCCATAAACGACTGTATGTGCTGCATAAAACATAAAACACGTCGCATGCAAGCAAACACACCATCAACAGGTTTCACAATGTTCAGCGCTTGGCTGCAATGCTTTCAGCGGCTGTCCAAAACAGTGTCAACGCAAGATACGGCAGAAGGAAACCAATACAACAGCAGTCAAAACGCGCAGTCAAAAAAACTCAGCCTACTTCATACACAAAGACAATACAATTAGGAGAAAGCTACAGCTAGACAGCTAGACAGCAGGTGTCAAGGGAAAACTGAAACATAAAATAGAAACCAGATGATCCAAGCAGGCAGAAACCATGGAGGATCCCCCCCCCCCAAAAAAAACACACACATGCATGCATACATTACATGCACACGTACATACACACACATGCGGCGAGTTAGGGCTTGTTGGTGTTGGCGCTGTGCTGCTGCGTGAGGGAGAGCAGGAGCTGGAGGGACCGGTCGGACGTCATCACCACCTGCCCCGTCGCCATGGCCACCTGCTTCACCACGTCCAGGACTTGGTCCAGGGTGGTGTCCTCGCTCCCCGCCTCGAGGCACAGCGCACGGTTCACGGGCATCATTGCCGTCAGGTCCTTGCTGGTGTCCCAGTGCCGCACAGCCTCAATCTCCACGCCCGTCAGCGGCTTGTGCTCCTCTCGCTTCTCCAGCACGCGCATGAGGAACCAGATGTAGTTCCACACGTTGTGGTCGCTCGCAATGTGCGCCTCAAAGCCGCCCTTGTGCGCAGCCTGGATGCGGTCGTGGCTGAAGTTGCACACAAAGCACCGGCTCTCCTTCTCCGCAGCGATGGCCTCCGTCTCGGCACGGTACTCGCCAAACGAGTCAATGATGATACCGGAAACAATCGCGGCCATCACCAGCACCACCACCATAAAGTACAGCAGCGAGTACACAAACAGGCCCACATCCGCATCCGCGGGCGCAAACACGGGCGACGAGTAGAAGCCGTAGTACAGATGGTCGCGCAGGCACTGCACCAGTGGCGTGCCCGGCGCACACGTGGCCGGGGCGTCCGCAAACTCGTACGTGCCACCAAACGCATCGCGGCCCACAAGCATAAACGCGTAGATGATGAAGAAGGTGAGCAGGAAGGTGCCCAGGAGTTTGGAGACGTTCTGCTTGACGGCGCGTAGCACGAGGTCATCACTCACCGCAGCACCAGGTCAAACAGGTGGAGCAGACAGCTGACTGGAGATGCCGGCACGCTCATGGCAGGTACACCACGTAGTA